TATAAAAATTAAAAAGTGTTTTTTTTTTTATTTACTCTTAACATTTGCTTCCCCTTTCATTGATATAACAGTATGGTGGAGAACACAATACACGTTGTTTAGAAATTCTGTTTAAGAAAAAAAAAAAAAGCGAGTTTATGAAATTGGGTAAAGTGGTAAACAACAACTAGCAAGCGAATTTATTGTATATGTGATTAATTGTATTGTAATATTTTGAACAAATTATTATTTACCAAATTGACATAGAAGGTATTTTATTTAACTTTTTTCAAAGCAGTTGATCTGTTTTAAACAGTAAAGATTACAAAATAAACAGAGACCCTCATTTGATAGCAATACTAATGCTGGTAAAGATTCTCAGTCATCCAGGTCATAGTCATTCCAAAAAAGTTAAAATAACAATCCACTGGACTTTGTTTCCAAGTTTGAAGACATTTAAAGAAGTTTTGCTTCCCATCTATGAGGCTTTTTCCATTCAAAATTTGGAATTGAAAAAACTTCCTGGATGAAGTGAAAAAGTGAAACGTCTTTAAGCTTGGAAAAAAAGTCCAGTGGATTTTTATTTTAACTTTTTTGGAAGTACTAATACTCGTTTAAGTATTACATAACTGCAGTTGCATTTCCAAAATAGTGTATCTGTCAGAGAGGTCTGCCATCAAGAATCAAGAACAAAAAAACAGTAAAAAGAGGTTTGTGCTGATAAAACCCCACTTGCATTGTTAGATCAGTGCCGTGTGGTCAGTAATATGTAATCAATATACAATATGTGTGCAAGATTATTTAACTGTGTGTTTGACAAAGGTACTGGGTCTTAAGGTAGTGCTTGAAAAAAATTTTTTTAGAGCACACAAAGGATTATATGTTGCATAAAACTCACAAAGAAGAGAGTCACTAAAGATATGCATATATTAAATATTTGTTTTCATTGTAAATTAAGTGACATACAGCGGGTGAAATAAGTATTAAACGCGTCACAATTTTTCTCAGTAAATATATTTCTAGAGGTGGTTTTGACCTGACATTTTCATCAGATGTCGGTAACAATCTATACAATCCACTCATTCAAAGAACTCAAACCATAGAGGTCCAGCACTTAAGTTATGTGTAATATTGTGGAATGGCACTGGGTAAAGAATTGAACACAATTATTGACATTTACCTAATAATTTGGATAAAACCCTATGTTTGCAATTACAACTTCAAGATGCCTACTGTATGGATAAATTAGTTAAATGAATTGCTCAGGTTTGATTTTGGCCCATTCTTCCACTCTATCTACAAATCTTGAAGGTTTCATGACCCTCTTCTATGAACTCTGATCTTTAGTTTTTTTTCCATAGATTTTCTGTTGGATTCAAGTCAGGTGATTGACTAGGTCATTCTAGGAGCTTTATTTTCTTTCTTTGAAACTAATCAAGTTTCCTCGGCTGTGTGTTTAGGGTCATTGTTTTGCTGAAATGTCCACCCATGTTTTATCTTCATCATCCTGGTAGATAGCAATAAATTTTTATCAAGAATGTCTCTGTACATTTTTTCATTCATCCTCCCTTCAACTATTTAAAGTTTGCCAGTACAGTATGCTGAAAACAGCCACACTCCATGATGTTCCCACCTAACTTCATTGTTGGTATGGTGTTTTTGGGGCCATGTGCAGTGCCTTTTGACCTCCAAAGATGATGTGTATCAAGGCATTCAGAGTTCAGTTTTGGTCTCATCTGACCAGAATATATTCTCCCAGTATTTCAGAGGCTTGTCTAAATGTTGTGCAACAAATATTAAGCAAGCTTCATCATGCTTTTTCTTCAGCAAAGGAGTCTTGCGTGGTGAATACAGAATACAGGCTATGGTGGTTAAGTGCATCACCTGCTAATTACAGATCTCTCTAAAGCTCTCCACAAGTGTTCTTTGGCTCTTGGAAAACTCTTCTCATAAGTTTTTTCACTCCCCTGTAATCTTGTGAGGAGCACTTGGTCATGGTCGACTTAAGGTGAAATTCTGTTATTTCCACTTCCAGATTATGGCCCCAACAGTTCTCACTGGAACATTCAGAAGTTTCGAAATCCTTCTGTAACCAATGCCATCATTAAAGGTTGCAAAGGTCTTGACATGCTCTTTGCATTTACCCATCATGAGATGTTTCTTGTGTGTTAACAGAGACACCTTTTTAAAGGCCATCATTTGTGACCAGACATGGGGGATCCGGAGCCAACAAGTCACCTCCATGTCATGTAATTGTTCTGCCCAGCCACTGAACCAGGTTAGTCCAATCTGTAGAGTGAACAAACCTGTGCAGATTGGACTCACCTGTTTCAGTAGTTGAGCAGAACAAATACATGACATAGAGATGACTTGTTGAATCCAGTTCCTCCATCTCTTTTTGGGGCTGAACCAGCTGATTAACTTTTCCAGACAACAGGGTGAGAATGCTTCTGGCCTTTCTTAACCCTTTCTACGTGTGTTCAATACTTTTTCCATGTGCTATTTTACTTTAGTACATAACTTAAATTGTTACATGTATGGTTTAATTTCTTTGTATGTGGGGGTTGGATGGATTGTTACTGACATCTGGTGATAACGTCATGTCAATAGCACCTCTAGAAAGGTATTTACTGAGAAAAATGGTGGCATGTTCAATACTTATTTCATCCACTGTGAGTAGGTTTTAGAAGAATGATAGAAGAATGATAGTGTGTTGTATTTTCTAACAGCAAAATATCGACTGTATAATAAAATTTTGTAAATAATCTTGCAGTATTATATATATGTTCCAATGAATTCTGATTTTAAGGTAACCTAAACCAAACTGCGGCTTGTAAAATGACTGTATGCAAAGCAGCCTAGTGATTTTGGCAAACGATGAAGGATATAAAGAGCTGAGAGAAAGATAAATATAATAACAAAACTGGCCCATTTAGAAAATAACAAGAAAATTATGCCCCAGGACTTGGCTGTGCATACTGGCACATAAACACCTCTTTATTTGTACTGCAAGCTGATAACTCTGGGGAGTGTGTTAGAAAAGTTAAATGGACATCCTGGTCATGGCAAGAAAAAAATAATATTGCCCCTGTAAGGTTGTGAAATTATGCATTATTTCTGTCCTGGTTTTCATTCTATTAAAGGATGAGTTGGCTAAAAAAAAAAATGGCCAAATCTCAGAGCCGCACAACTATATGATTCAAGGTGGACAGCAACAACAGGGGCAATTGGGATTATGCAGCAAGAAACTTTTTGAGGCACTCTCAAATAACTTTGATGACACTGACTATTCTCCAGTTACACCAGCAGATCTATACTTAAACTCCCATTGTTTTGCAATTTTGTATTGGAAATAAAGGACTATATAAAAGCCTTCTCATAAGATAAATGTACCCCCAAGTAATCAATGATAAAAAATTATGCATCAGTTGAGATTAGTTTTATTATTAGACTATGTGCTTGTGACCTTTAATATTGCCTGCCTGTTACGTGTCAAGGACAATGTTTTCCCAAGCAGTTTATCTCATTAGGACATTTCTTCTGTCAGGACAAAAAGTTATCATCTTCATTATGTAGGTATCAAAAATTTGGGAATGAAATTGAAGCATACTGTATGTATAGAGTGGATTATTCTTAACAGATAGCTCTGCCACTGTGCATTTGGGTTGTCCTTGATCTTATATATCACTGTGTAATATTTTGATAAGGCTGGAGCCAGTGAAGTCTCCTCATTTACAAACGTGTATGATGTAATAAGGCGAGAATTGATGATGTGGCAGGGTGTGACACTATACATGTATAAAATGCTTCTTTAACTGGCATTCTGGGCCGACTTTCTGAAGAAGGGTGCATGGTGCCATCTATAACCTTGAGCCAATCTGGTCTGAGGACGGTTATAATTGCTGTCAAAATTTGCTGTCATGTCTCATAGTAATTTAATACATAAACCTTAAAAAGTGTTATTTTAAGTGTCTGTTCTTAGTGATCTCTTTTCCGGAAAGATTTGAGTAGAGAAAGCTTAAAGATGTAAACGTAGAGCTTTCCTTCACGTGTCATTTTTTAGAGACTGCTTATGAAAGAATCTTACCTGATGTAAAAATATGCCAAACAAATGTATTGGGTCTTGACTGAGTAATTGTTTTTTTATTCATTGTCTTTTACTCGCAGCATTCATTGGTAGGTCAATTAACCCCTTAAGCCCAGAGGGTCTTAGGAGAAAATTCTGCCTGAAATTATAAACGTGTATTAAAGCAAGTACAGCTTCCAAACAATAAACTGGAAATACAAGTGCTTTTATTTGTGTGACAGAAAGACATTGAGGAATATTTTTGAGGAGGAAGCACTATTTTAAATGTCACAATGTCTGATTTATAGGTTATTAAACAAAGAAAAAATATAAAAATATTTAGCCTTGCCAAAATGTTTTCCAAAATAAACACTGAAAAAAAACAATGACAGCCCATTTGAACCTCTGGATGAACCTTCAGACTTTATAGATCTACATCTTGACTGTATCTCAGGCAAATGTGGACTGAATAACTTGAAGCATGTTTATTCCACAAAGGTTTTAGTGGGCAGTGTGCAAGGCGGAAATTTAATTTTGGCAAGGTGGTGCCAAATATGGCCAAAATGTGCCAAATTAATTTTTCCATTCATAAAAGGAAATCTGGTCAGACAAATATAAGGATTTACATTATTCTCCTAAGATTTAGCTGTTGTGTGTGCTTTGGTGACGCAGTGGTTAGCGCATATGACCCATGCATGGAGACCTTAGTCCTCAACGCTGGCGACCCGGGTTCGAACTGGCCTGTGGTCCTTTCCCGCGTGTCTCTCCCCCTCTCTCATACCCCCTTTCCTGTCAGCCTACTATCCATAAAAACGAGCCACTACTGCCGTAAAAACTCAAAAAAAAAAAAAAAGATTTAGCTGTTGTTTCATTGAAATTTACCAGTATGTCACCAAACTGAATAGTAAATAAGAATAAAACAGCAAGCTTATGTAACGCATGCAGGTAAGATCACCTGAAATCGTTGCAGAACACCTCCTTGAAAAGACCTGAGGCTCTAGTTTCCAGTGATGCATTAAGGCAGTGTTTTTCAATCCTGGTCCTCAAGGCACCCTGCTCTGCATGTTTTGGATGTTTCTGAGGTTCAGCACACCTGAATCAGATAATTGCAGCTCAGCAAAGCCTGATAATCTGCTATCAATTGATTACAGTTGTGTGAAAGCTGGGAAACATCTAAAACATGCAGGGCAGGGTGCCTTGAGGACCAGGATTGAAAAACACTGCATTAAGGGTTGTGGCTAAAAATGAATACCTGCTGTTGCATTACTCTCGAAAGAGTCATGTCAGGTGGAATTTAAATCTCATTTTATTTATTTACGCAGCTATGAAACTAAAAGGATTTGTGAAAAATAATATTGAAACAGGGTTTAAAAATTTTAAAGCCCCATTGTGAAAGGCGAAACACCATGTGACTGTGTTTTGGCCATTTCTATAAATAGATCAACATGAGCAGGTGTCAGATGGGCCCGTTACTGGGCCCACCAAGCTCAAGAGGTTAATGCTGTAAAGTTTAAATAAAGATTTTCCATGGGAGAAAACAGTGGTTGATGAGATACATTGAGGCAAAGTTAATAATTTTAGAGCAATCTTACCCATAATGTCATGTATGTAAATTTAAAGCTGCATTAGACTCAGGGATAAGAACTGCAGAGCATCTTGTCAGAGGAGGTTGTTCACACATAAATTGGTGATTCTTTGTGTTCTAACATCCAATAATATATCGCCAGGCTTAGACTTGTAAACATCTCCAAATCCTCTAATGCTCGTTGGCTACAGCAGTGCTCTCAACAATGAACAAGAAATGTCGGTGCTTGTGCTGAATCCTTTCAGTGAGCCAAAGGATGTCTGCATTATGGGGAGATATCTATAAATTGGCCTGACCTGTGACTTTAATAAAAAAGATACAATAATATTTTTCCACAAGTTGTTCTGCTCTTTAATTTTAACTACGAAGCAGCAATTAAGACCACCACATCAAACCATAAATATAATCCATGAAAATTGAAGTCTTTTCTGTTCTTTAGAAAATGTATTTAATTTTCTCATTTACTAACTTATGTAATCCAATTTCAAATAATTGTGATTCAATTAATGACAAGACATAGATTAAGATATGTTGCAATCTCATGGCTGATGGGTGCATGTAATTTTTTAACAATCAATTCACCAAATTGCTCTCTAAGGACTTTTATACTTCATAGAGGAACTACAGCCTAATTAACGTCTGGTGGTACTCAGCATTTTTGGAATAAGCTACAAGGTTCTTAAAGGAAATTCAGACAGTGTTGCAGTTTTCAACTGAGCAAAGTACAAAAGATATATTCTCAAGGATCTTCAATCATTAATAAGCTATATTGTGCATAATCTTCTATCTATTTTAAGCATTATGTAATGATGGTATAAATATGAAATGATAAAAAAAATGAGGGTATTAATGTGGTGCTAAATGTATCATCAAGATTCTCTGAAGAAAGTCTATAGCAACATAGTCAAAATATGATTCATTGAACCATCTCTTAGCTTTAATAAATAAAACTCTTAATTCTGTGCTATCATGATATCATTAAAAGGATAAAATATATGCCTCATTGAGCGAAACTATTGCAAAAAGCACACTAACCAGAACACTTAAATGTTGGGAAGTCACAATAATCATACCCACAAATATTAAACTGCTCGGTTAAAATTACATGGAGCTTTGATATCCTTAAGATTTAATAACGTAGTGCTGTTAAGGGCTTTGACTGTTTAAAGTCAGATTTTAAATCATATGTTGAGTGCAATCATAACTCTAGCTGCTGAGAGTTTGCTGTCCTAATATCAGTGGAATATTATTGAGTATTTTATTGATGCAATGCATAGAACTTAATGGAACTCTAAATGATTGAATGGCTAAATTTCTGGGTAATTCTGTGATTTTTAAATTTGGTTAATACATCACTAAAGCAGCACATTAATCTTAAAAGGCAGATGAATAACCTTTGAAACTCACAGTTTTTGTGATTTTTTGGAAAATGGTTACATAATTGACTTACCACATGCTTTATCATTTCCAGTCAGGCTGAGATCCCTCAGCATCACAGTTATGGATCTGAAATACTTCTCTGGCAATAATTATGAATAGAATAGCAATGAATAAATATTACCAAAATAGAAGAAGTAAAAAATACAAAATTTTAGTCTGGCATTTGAGCCATTCTAACAAATTTCATCTCTACAACTACATTAGAGCAATACATGCCTAGGGTATTTCTCCTTCTGTAAGGTGAACTATTACCCCGGCTTTAACTATTTTGTAGGTTTTGGTACCAGTATTGTGTATATTTAACTCAATTCAGTTTATTTATATAACAACAATTAACAAACCATGTCAAGGCAATTTAAAAACTCAACTCATTCAAATCATACGGACAGGTTACAAAAGTGTTCTATGAAAACAACTGGTTTAACAGTCCAGACCAAGAATGTCCCAGTGCTGCAGTCCCAGAGGTCATGCTGGAAGCCCATCCTGGTCAGGGATCCAGAACAGACAGGAACAGACAGAACAGGCAGGATCCAGATCAGGCAGGAACAGAAACAGGTGGCAGGATCCAGACTTCCAGGCATCCACAGGCTCCCAGGAGGGTTCAGAGTCTGACTGGGACCAGAAGCATGACCGGGTGGTCACGCACAGGAGCAGACAGGATCAGGTGCAGACAGGCAGGCTCAGTGGAAGAGGGTGCCCGAGACAGGACGTGGAACCTGAACTTGAAGCAGGACTTTAAACTGGTCTCCTCCCTTGAGCCAGGCTTACTGGATAAAAACTGAACCTCCCCACATAATGAGCCAAAAACCCAGAGGACTCCGCGGGGGAGGAACAGTGGACGATCAGGAGACGAGACAAACACAAAAACCCTCTTTCCACTGGCTGCTAGGATCCAGGACACGAACCAAGGAACAATACTAACAGACAGGCTAAGAGAAAGACAAGTAATGATCTGGCACTGAATGCTCAGGCTGAACTGATAATAAACCAGAGGAAACAGGTGAGAGGAATAAATTATAATTGAGGCAGGGAGCGAAAAACCACAGGTGAAAGGAATGACTAATTAAGGGAGAGCAAACAGGCCAGATCATGACACCCCCAAGAGGCTACCCATTTAGAAAAGCCATGGGCCCCGTGCTCCATTTTCCTCACCACCAGCCTGTTAATACACTTCTACATTTGACTTATTTTACTTAAATAAATGGATACGTTCCACATGAAGTGTATTCAACAAAATTAATAAGTACAAACAGACATTCCCTACAGCATTCAACATCAAAGAGTCTTAAACAAAGGCACTGTGTAGCTACACCACTGCAGTCAGTTGACTCAACCACAACTAAAGAATTTTCCCCAGATATCAACCCATTTATCCTCAGCTTCAACATGAACCTCTCATCTAGAGCCTTAGCTGCTTTGGTGTTCTACAATTTTTAGGTATATTTCTGTTCCAAAACAACCAGTTTGAATGTTTTTTTTTTATTTTTGGTGGATTTCTTAGAAGCCTTCTAATTATCCATTTATTTACATATTGAAACATGCAGGCCCTCAAAAGCTGCTTACGGCAACCTCTGGTCAAAGAACCCATCCGGGCCTTTGGTAATTGTATATGACATATAGTATGATAGTATAATAACTTTAATAATTTACCGTGAAGAATTTAGTAATTTTTTTCATAATAATAACATGACTAATGGAAGGACACATATTTTAACAGTGTTTGACCTACAAGCAACATTTTTTTTTGCTTTTGTTCTTCTACAAGCACAAGACCTATGAAACATTCTGTGTCTGCATCCCTCTTTTTCCCTGTACTCTGTTTCGGTCCATAGCCTCGTCATCTCTCAGAGCAATTACTGCAACCCTCTTCTTTTTGGCCTCAGAAATCTCTCCATATAGTTCAGTTGGTCCAGGATTCAGTGGCTTGCTTAATTACAAAATCCCCCTTCATTCCATCACATCAACCCAGTCTAACAGGTGCTTTACTGGCTTCCTGTCATTGTCAGATTTCAGTTCAAAATCCTTCTGTTTGCTTTCAGTGTTCTCCATAATCTCTCCCCCCTACTTCTCCTACAGATTGCTACCGCCTTCTCCTTAGATGTTCCTTATCCATCCACCTTGTTGAGCCTCCTGCCCGGCTCGTCACTGTGTGGAGCAGAGGTTTCTCCCTCTCTTCTCCCAAACTATGGAGGTCACTCCCACCTGAAATTTGCAATATTGACTTTTTATCTCAAATTAAATCAAGGCTAAGATCTCATCTGTTTAATACTGCATACCACTGTAGCTGATATTGTGTATATGGTGTTATATGGTGTATTTTTGATTGTTTTGTTGTACAGTGTCCTTGGGGGTCCTGAAAGGCATGTTAAATAAAATATATAGTTTATGATTTTTTTTCTGTTCACAAAGCTTTTCCGTTACTTCCCTGTTCTAGGCAATGTTTATTTACTCTGAACTCACTACTCTAAAACATTCACTAAAATGCCAAAACTAAAATCTGATGAGGTCATGACGAGCCCTCCGATCCACTAGTTGTTCCATTTTGTGTTGTTTTCTTCATACGTCTGTGAGGAATCACTGTAAAAAGCATTTCGGTTGACCTCACTGTTTATTCGTTCTTTGGGTGTCTGTGTCCAGTTCTTGATCAGTCTCATTGATATGCTTTAATATAAGGGGAGAAAATAGAGCTACTTAGAAATATGTTCAACCTCATCTGCCTAGATTTTTGATGCAGCCTCAGAGTCGAGGTGTTACAGCTAGTGAGGGCTCATTAATTTGAATTTGTAAGGTTGTTGAACAGCTTCTGTTGTCTATTGTTGTTGGGTCATTAAGTGTGGCAGTCGTTGTGTGTTTTGTAGTTTTTTAAGCAGAGTTGGCAGTTCTGCATATGTCAGTAGTAAGTAGCAGTGGTTCTGTCCTGCTTTAGAATGTGTTTTCTTTTGGAATTTATTAGGGGCTGATTTTAATGTGGCGTTCTCTCAGCTGCAGGTCAGTCTCAGGTTTTTCATATTTTACTGGTCCTTATTCC